CACATTGAAATTGAAGGATTCTTTGCATCCACCAATCACTGAATTGTAAGGTTAGTGGTCTTGTCAATGTTCAACGACATCTCTATAACGAAGATCTCAAGCAGCAATTTTGACATCAAGAAGAGTGCTCCACTTTTGAGGAGCAAAAAACGAACTGATTGATAGGAGCACTAGGATCCATCTCAACTTGTGAGTATCGCTTTCAAAGTGTAGAAAAAATAGTGTTGCGAAAAATACGTTGCGCAGCAATTAAATTAAAACGTCACGCGACATATTCTGCTCCATTTAGCGCTCATAAAAAAAAACTCTTGTTGAGAACATGATTCCTCAGCGCTGTAGGTGCTTGCTATCTGTCAGTAAAGCAGGCAAAGCAATTTTCATTAAGTGATAAGTCAAAGAATTTGCTTCCATTTTAGAAGTCAGTGGATTTTTCATCTTCGCACAGCACGTCGCTCATTACAGTAATGCGATTGGCCTAATGAAAGAAATGTCTTCCCTACAATCTTTAACTTGCCTGAAGTTATATTACGAAACACTTTTCCACATCTTCCCTGCTGGGCACAGTGCCAACAGCGTTCTGATGTGAATAATGCCTGTAGAACAAAGTAATGAGCATAGGATTGTTATCATATTATAAATATTCACATTTTACAAATTCATAAACTTCAATCTCATGAATACTTCTGATACTTCATCGGTACTTCAAAGCTGTCACAATCCGAGCTTTTGATCAAAACCTAATTTTGAGTAGGAAATAAGTCTAGAAATTAGTCCATGCAGTGATTTAGATCTTGATTATTTATTAAAAAGCTACTGTATTTCGTTGCAGCAAGCACTAGAGGCCTCACTGTTAGCGGGCTCACATCTTTACTAGTTTCCAAGGGTTTAGTCTAGCACGATGAATGGTGCCCGAGTCTCTTGTATTGCAGAAAGCCAGGATGGAGCGAAGGTATTTGTATCATGCTTTGTGATGCAAACAGTGAAATTGGAACTCTAAAATTTTACAACCTTTTCCGGTATTTGGAAGACTTAGGAAGTGAGCCCCAATTTTCTGAAGTCATCAATCTCCTAACTAGCATGGCTTTCATCGTTTCACAAAATCTAATTTTCAGCACCTCAAAGCTAACCCTCTAAACCAATCAAGATATTAGTTTTGCAGTTTTTTGATGTTCTCAGAAGGCAAGCTCGTGTACTCCTACCTGATGCTGCAATCTCACCTATTTTGAATCAACTGGAAGTTGAAATTGTATGCGAATCACTGCAATGTGAGGATGTGATTATTGATCGAACGAACGACAAAAAAAGTAGTTCAATTTTGAACATCTATTTAAGACATTTCAATCCGTTGGAGGCTACGTGCCCTTTACGGAAGGTACTAAGCGCCACACTACGCATTATCGTACACTTTGTATTAAAGTCGCTGCAATGGAAATATGAAAATTGATTTGGTGAATTGAAGTACTGCGCTTTTTTTCCTTTATTTTTACTAATTACATTTCAAGACCGCGTCAGTCCGTTCTTTCGTCGTCGGTGCCATTACTCTAAATATTACTTTGATCCCGATAATTGCGTGTAATTTATTAACATACAGGTAGTGTCTCCTTATTTTGAGTTATCCTCATACAATGTAGTTAAGGATAAAGAGCGGTATCTTATCATATACGATGCAAGGGGCGTTATGTGCCTACGCCATTGATAATAAATGGTATGAACACTCTCTATTGTATGATCGTTTTTTCTTCTCTTTCTCTTTGCTTTCGATTTTTTTCTTCAGAAACCTGTCTATAATTACATTTAGTACTGTTACGTATTGATCAGCAAGTGTGAAAAAGCGAACGAAAGAAGGGAATGATTATGTTCAATAGTCACTTAGTAACCACTGCACTTTAGAATGTCTGGTCATCTCAGTATGACTAGGGTTATATAAACAAAGGAGGCGTTGGAGATGCTACATCGTTTGTGCGGCGCTTCACCCTAATGGATTTGTCTAAATGTGATGAGTATGACAAACTTTAGTGCTTACTCAAGGTGGAACTTCTCCGTTATCTGCTTGCCGTTCTCACCCCTCGAGAAAGGTATTTCTTGGTCTTTTTCAATGTTGAATGAAACGTATGCTTAAGCACACTGGCCTAAAAAATTTTACTTAGATTTCCACAGGTGAGAAACTTGTATCAGGCCGAGCAGAAAAAATCTGGAAAAAAATTTAATTGTTCCATTTTTGGCATCTTTTGCTTTTTCTATTGATAGTTTTGTATATATTTATCTTGTTCATTAATTTGAGCTCCAAAATGCCTCTGAAACGGAATGATTTGGTGTTGATCCGCCGCTATTGGAGAAAAGACTTAACATCACTTAAAGCCGTCGATGAAATTAATGAAGGTGAAGGTGCTTGGCTATAGGCAGACGGTTTAAGCGATTTAAAGAATGGACTCTTATCGCGAAGACATAGGCTCGTTGTGGCCTGCCATCTTGTCGTCAAGTTGCACCAATTTGACTTTTTCCACAAGAAAGCTAGTCAGAACCGCATGAGCTTTGTCTGAGCATGGCCTTTTTCGATCAAAATAACACTTCTGAATGGCCGTCGATTTCAATCATTTGATGAAGCGAAACACTATGGCAAGAGTTTTTCGATTTATAGAAACCGGAATTGTACTTTGAGCAGATCTGGAATTTTGTAGGACGATGGCAAAAGGTCATGAACTGTGATAGTCTATACTCCGAAGAACAGTCATTGTTATGAATTCGCACATAAAAGCGAAACTTGCAAAGTTTTCCAGAACCTTTTGCTCAGACTTAGGTACATGCTCAGAGTGAGATTATACCAGTAATTGAAGATGGCAAAGATTTTTCATTGTGCCTTCAGAAATCTCATGCTTTTTGCTCACAAACAAGAAGTAGACCCGCAGAATCATCGGCTCTTTCACGAAAAATTCATGAATGTTCAATATAGCTGAATAAGCAGTTTTATAGTGTCTCAATTGATTTCTGAGCGGCGCGCAGTTTTGCCGCAACATTTCCCTTCCGCTTTGTAAACGATACTTTTGCATGCTTTATGCTATTCGTTTGGCACTATGATATAACTGGAGAAGCTAATCTGCCAGCAACAGTGATGGACGAGAAGTTAATGTTTATTTTGTTAGACCTCTAGAATATCTTTAATGCGATGGAATTGAAGACCGTCATCCATTCTGAGAAGTGGGTCTTAACAGGGTACAGGAGATAGCCCTGAAACTACTCAACTCAAAAAGAAGGATTTGTCACATGTGCACAGCTAGTCAAAAGGTTATAACCTTTCCGCTTATGTTACACAGCGCTTGCCACTGGTCATCCAGTAGAAGTGAGAGAAATGGTTTGCTTTTGAAGGTACGTATTCCATCATAGCCTTCTAAACAGTGCTCCAATATTTTTTTTCCACTAGAATCACAAAATGCCAAAAAAGCCTTTGACAAATCTCATTGATTCGCATAAATTTAAATGCATGGGTAATAGAAAACCTGCTGAGCCTCCAAAATTCCAAAAAAAACCTTATATTCGCGCCCGATACGCCAATTTATAGCGATATCTTATATTATCCGTTCCGAATGGCATCTACCTGTGGTGGTACAATAATTGTTCAAAACAATTCTCAGTGGACAGTTGATTTATCCTAGACACCTAGCGAGCATTCGAAAGCTGGAATTTCTGAGACTTCAATAATGTGCCATGCTCAAAGTAAACTACCGTCATGGACTACTGCGCGCAGCAAAGGGACGAATGGAATATGTGCTGGAGTCCGTACAACTAGTGAAGATTTTAGTGAAAACGGACCGTCGAAGTATCCGAGTAAGCAAGTATTAATAATGTACTCGGTTTTCAAAAAAAAACCTTCCTTATGTACCTAAGAGAACTAAATAGTGAGCAAAAATACGACTTCAGACGAGAGTCGAACCCGCGTTTCATCCATACTGAGGACGCGTGCTACCACAACACCACAGAGTTACACTCGCACTACGGCTCATTCTTCAGAACGAAAACAAACCTTTTCACAGACCCTTCGTGTTTTGTTGCAACAACAAAATTAAAGCAATGTTTACACAATCGGTTCGTGCTATTTACTTGGCTGGGGTCTACGAATAGCTTTTTGCTGGACTTTTGGCTACAAAAAAAAATAAAATATCACGAAAAATCACTGTAAAGGAATTTTAGCGAAAAGAGCGACCATATGTCAAATAGTTGTTTGTGTTTCTATGAAAAACATACCCTTGCAAGTAGGAGCTCATTTCCAACAGTTGTTGAACATTTTAGTCATATTACATCTATATTTTTGTGGTCATTTGGTAACCTGAAAATGCTGGTTGTTATACTAAGCTTCTTTTGCAAGAAACATTCATGATATAACCTATTAGCAGTAAGAATACAACGTTTTGTTTTGGACGCTCGCCTGCTGTTTGAATTTCGCAGAAAACTTCACTGGCAGTTATACAGCTGAATTTTGATTCAAGAAAGACTTTTGCTACGAAAAAATAGATTATTATAAAAAACCTCACAAGGAGTGTTTCTAGTAAAGAGAACACCCAGTTATCCTTAATTTCACTACATTTTTCTCGAAAAGTGCACTGTCGACGGAAACTGAAACTGAACCTCGATGTGTTTGAGACAAGCACTTTTATTTTGACGATTATTTTTTCTCACAATATAGCACCAATAAACTGACAAATCACATCAGTGTTGATTACTCATATTAATTCGCTGAATTATATTGAAGGTGCAGATATATATTCGATTTTGTGATCTTTTTGGAAGCAATAGAGAATTTCGCAATAACAAGTCGCAGAAAAAGTTATGCTCATAATCGAGGAAATGCTGCGTTAAAAAAGGTGAGTCAAACTTAGCTGATTATTTTACGATTTAGAACTGTTTAAAACGTTTCCCTTTCTTTTTTCTTTTCTTTCTGACCTGGTTATGGAAGTGTTTGACTAAGATGATGCACACAATAGTGTGGAGTGCTGTGCAAAAGCGTCTGCGTCAGCTGGGATTCGAAACCAGATCTCACTCTTCCGGAAGCGTATGCTAACCATTGCACCATCGACGCTCGTTTTGCACGCCACTCTTTCCACGCTACAACGCGTTATCTGTCAACAGCCAACCGTCTACGGTTTGGCGGGGTAGTCGTTATCGACATTGAACCCACTTATGTTGACAGATATTGGGTATAAATAAACAATCAGAATGATTTATTTGACCGCCACTTGCGGTGTTATGATGTTACAATATACCCAATATAATATATACAATATATATATATATATATTGTAACATTATAACACCGCAAGTTGCGGTCAAATGAAATCACTTCTGATTGATTATTGAGTTGATGTAGGTCAGTCAGGGTCTGAGGAAGGCAGAAGTGCCGAAACGTTAGCCACAGATACGATCTTTATTGTACTACTTTGTATAAAATAAACTTGTGTTAAAAACCCCTCGTGTTACTGAAGCAAAGAAAATCACGGAGGTCAGAATTTGTAGAGCATTGATGTTGTGTTTTGTGAGTTTTGAGGGCGATTGGTGGTGATTTGAAACAAAGGCGAGTGAAAAATTCGTTCTTTCCTTGTAGCCATGATCAGTCACTGACATTAAATCTGAATTCTGCCCACTATTTGATATGTCGACTTTCTTTATGGATAGCATTGAATGTCGGTCGAGAATATTTTCTCTGGGGTCATTAAGAACCCTCGTTGGTGAGTGCGTAGATAGGGTCTCTTGTATGTGTTTTCCTCATGTTCATTCATATTTCTGAGGTTATTACCTACTTGTTCCACGAACCTCCCTCTTTGAGGGATCCCGCCCGGTTAGTCGCGAGGGCACGTGGCGCGTCCCCAGGTGGTGGATAGGGGAATAAAACGCGAACCAAAAGCGACCGTGTGCTTCCCAGAGACGCAGGTGGATTCAGGGGACGAGCTCCCTGCTTCTGCAGCGCCGACTTGACAAAAACTCTATTTCTACGAGTCAAGTCGGCCAAAAACCTGCAATCAAGCGGCTGGGAAGTACATGGGAGGCGGTTAGGAGTCGCCTCCAACAAATAAGCTCCTCCCGCTCCTCCGAGAGAGACTGGCAAGCTACTCGTGAGTACCCAGCCCCACGTTTAGAGCCTGGCAAGCTACACGTTGGGTATCAAAATGCCAAAAACAGTAACAAATATGGGCCTCATTCCCCTGACCCCGAAAGAGCCCCTGGTACGGCAGCGCCAGGTAGGACGAGTACGGAGAGGCTGCTAAAATCTCAGGGCCGAACTAGGCTGCCAAGATCGAAACGGACTAAAATGACGATCTGTACCTACAACGCAAGAACCCTTGCTCAACAATCCGCTGTAGAAGATCTGTTGATTCAAGCAAGAAGAATAAGGTACGACGTCATTGGCCTGGCTGAGACGAGAAGGCGCCATCCTTTTCACGCTGTCTATGACACCGGAGAAGAACTGTTCCTTGGAACATGCGATCGCAGAGGTGTCGGTGGCGTTGGCGTCCTCGTCAAATCGAATTTGACCGTGAGCATTGATTCGTTCGAACAACTAACAACCCGTATCGGACGATTACGGTTGAAACGATGTGGTTCTATGCCGGCTTTGACCATCTTCGTTGCTTACGCACCAACATCAAGCTATGACGAAGACGAAGTCGAAGCGTTCTATATGGACCTCGAAAAATTCTTCAGAGAAGATCATTCATTCTTCAAGGTCATTGTCGGAGATTTTAACGCAAAAATTGGACCTAGAAGAACGTCTGAAGAACGTCACATAGGGACCCACGGACTAGAATGGAATGAACAGGGTGAGAGGCTATCCGAGTTTATCATGACGACCCAAACCATCCATGGTAACTCGCAATTCCAAAAGCCTCTCTCTCAGCGATGGACGTGGGAGTCTCCCAATGGAGAGTACCATAACGAAATAGATCACATCATAGTAAATCGAAGGTTTTGCCTGACCGACGTCGCTGTTGTTCCCAAGTTCTACACGGGATCAGACCATCGCCTCCTTCGCGCAACGTTCCGATTTTCGAGGAGAGGAGAGAAAGCCGCTAAATTCAAACAACGAAGTCCCAGAACTACCATAAACTGGGATGTATTCAAATCATTAGTCGGCTCTTGGGAAGATACCGTTGTCGACAACATCGACGAAGAATACGATCGACTCGTTGAATATCTTCACGTTAGCGCTAAAAAAGCCGAGAGTCCTAAGGTCACGAAGAGACGCTTGTCTCCGCAGACACTCGAGCTGATACGTCAACGTGGAATCGCACGAGCTGCAGGCAACCGAAACCTTACGTCCGAACTTGCGAAACGATGCAGAGAAGCGATAAAAGAAGACCTTAAAGAAGAGAAGAGCAGCAGTTATGGCAGAAGCTGCAGAAGCTGGGAAGAGCATTCGCAAAGCCCAGCGAGGCTTCGCCAACTATAAGACCAAGATGATTGCACTCCGATACCCTGACGGGACACTTACAGCTTCCAGAAGGGCTATGGAGAAAATCATCCACCAATACTACTCGGATCTCTTCGCTAGCCATGTTCTCTTACCGTCATATAAATTGAAAGAGGACGAATATGTCGTTCCACCGGTCCTTCCTTCCGAAATCCGACATGCTATATCGTCGGTGAAAAACAGAACAACACCCGGTCCAGACAGGATTAGACCAGAACACCTGAAGAACCTGCCGCCAGTTCTCATCAACACCCTGGCTCGGCTCTTCACTCGCTACCTGTCAGAATGCAAGGTCCCTATTCAATGGAAAACCAGCAAGACCGTATTGTTGTTCAAAAAGGGAGACCTTCACGACATAGGCAATTATCGCCCAATCTGCTTGCTGTCCGTTGTCTATAAACTCTTTACTCGAGTCATCCTGAACAGGATTGACAGAACACTGGACGAAGGACAGCCATGCGAACAAGCAGGGTTCAGAAAAGGATTTAGTACCATAGACCACATCCACACGATCACAAGACTCATTGAAGTTTCGCGAGAGTACAAACAACCACTCTGTCTCACTTTCATCGATCTGAAAAAGCCTTTGATTCAGTGGAAACAGAAGCGGTTATAGAGGCTCTGGATAACCAGGGCGTCCCTACTCGGTACATAATGATCCTTCGTGAGCTTTATAAAGATTTCACGACCAGAATATCTCCATTCTACAACAATATCACCATTGACGTAAGAAGAGGGGTTCGACAAGGCGATACAATATCGCCAAAACTATTCACTGCCACCCTGCAAAACGTCATGCGAACATTAGAATGGGACGAAATGGGAGTGAAAATTGACGGTCGACAATTAAACCATCTTCGCTTTGCTGACGATATCGTTCTCATAACACCAAACATCAGCCAAGCGGAACGAATGTTGACTGACTTCGATAACGCCTGTGGAAAGATCGGTCTTCAACTGAATCTAACGAAAACAATGTTCATGAGGAACGGATGGGTTTCTAATGCCCCATTCACGCTCAACGGAACGACAATTTCCGAATGCTCCAGTTACATCTATCTAGGTCGTGAAATCAACATGATGAACGACCTAGCCCCAGAGTTGAGCAGGAGGAAACGAGCGGCTTGGGGAACGTTTAAGAGCATCGAAGATGTAGTGAAGAGGACAAAGAACATCCGACTCCGTGCCCACCTTTTCGACTCGACAATTATCCCTGCCCTAACGTATGCAGCAGAAACCTGGTCGCTACGTAAGCAGGATGAAAGATCACTTGCCGTTATCGAACGCGCAGTCGAAAGGTCGATGCTAGGAGTATCCCGCATCTCGCAAATGAGAGAAAGGATCCGAAGTTCCGACCTACGTCAACGATCGAAAATCAGAGACGCCGTTCTACACGTCAGGATATCGAAAATAAGGTGGGCCGGACACGTGATGCGCTTCAACGACAACCGATGGACGAGAGCCGTTACCGACTGGATTCCTCGGGACGTCAAGCGCTCTAAAGGAAGACCACTGACCCGTTGGTCCGATTTCTTCACGAAAGCGATGGAAGAAAGATATGATGCTCAGCGAATTCCTAGAGCGAGGAGGACCCACTGGGCTACTCTTGCACGCGATAGGGAAAAATGGAAGAGTTGCTGGTACCCGCTCGAGTCACTCGACGATCAACGGGACGACAGGTGATACAGGTGATTACCTACTTGTTACTGTCATGCATGTTCACCCGAGGTGGAGTTGGTGAGGTGCGCCTCAAGAACAGACTTGAGTCGGATGAAATTGCACTTTCACCTTCTGAGCCCCTTTTCAGATAATTGAATTTTTCCCACGATTAAGACCAGCACTTTTGAGACTTCTAAGAATGCAGCAGTGCCGTAAGATGTGGGCAGTGCGTTATGAGAACCTGATGAACTTTGTGATTTTCGAGTCTATAGTGTTCAAGTGTCTGCCAACAAACATGAAATCGTCTATGTAGGGGACTTACCAGGGCTCTCCACTTCTTCAAAAAACGAGTGAAGTTTGATTCTCCTTTTGAAGTAGTCTTGTTTACCGCTATCGGTGGACTGCAGCTCTTCTTGCTCTCGAATCCTACATCCACAAAGGTGTTTCAAATTTGAAGCTTTAAGATTCAGCGTTTCTTGAAGATTTTCTAGTGATTATGCGTCATAGAATGACTCACGGGCGGTATCTCATTATTCTGATCTACGCTCATGCCTTGCAATCCATTAGCTTATTTAGGAGAGACTTTTTCAAAATATACATCGAAAGCAAACCTTAGGTGCAATAGAAGCACAATTTAGACACAATATTTGGTTGGTTCGACTTTGGACGTTCCTAGTAAAGTGATATATATGAGAACTAATACTCTTAAAACTGAAAAAGTTCCTCATTTCTTTCTTTCCAGGTCCTCTGAAATATACTGATTCCTAAGGGGTTAAATTCAAGGAGTTTTCAGCCAACGGATTAGTGAGGTCAGCGGAGTTCTACTCAGTACGTTTTACCTACCAAATCAACGACATATCAAAGACTTTATGACAGCTACATATTTTGGATTGACGACCATTTGATAGTTTATTTATCGACTATTTGCGACCAAGAGCGTATCCGGTCGTACACAT